ACAATGAAGAAAGGACATTCTCAAAATGTAGAAAGTAAGAGAATTGCTAAAAACAAGACCAACTTAACCAGAAATGCTAACAATAGTTCTTCAGATAGAGATGTTGTTGTTGTTATGTGCTTGCGACTCATAGTAACCCTATGTACAACAGCTCTAAACTCTGCTCTGTCTTGGGCCAAACTCATTGTCTCCAACACACTCATCCCGATTGCCCCAGTCACCAAATCAATCCATCTCCCAGAGGGCTTTCCCCTCCTGCGCCTGCCCTTCACCCTCCCAAGCATGATGTCCTTCTCCAAGGACCAGTCTCTCCTTACAAGAAGACCAAAGTATGTCAAACAAAGCCTCAGAATCCTTGCCTCCAAGGAGCAGGCAGGTTTAAACCTCTTCAGGATGCATATGTTTGTTTTCTTAGCAGTCCATGGTTCCCTCAGCACTCTTCTCCAACACCAAAGCTCAAAAGCATTAATTCTCCTTCTGTCCTCCCTGGTCATTGTCATGACCATATCTGACACATAACAAGTGATTGCAAAGACCATGGCCTGTGCCAGATGCACCTTAGTCTCCAGAGACACGCCGTTGCTCTTGAGTACTTTAGAGCGATCCCTAACAGCAGACTTTCCCATCGCAATACGTCTTTTCATTTCCTGGCTGCTGGTGCCAAGAGTGTTGATTGTGGAGCCAAGCAGACTAAAGCTGTGTACAATCTCAGTCTCTTCACCATCCATCCTGATGTTGCCAATTGTTCCAGTGGTGAGAATCTTTGTCTTCTTGACATTGAGCCTCAATCCATATTGAAGGCTGTAGTCCTTGACCCTCTGCAGCAAGTGCTTCAGGTCCTCCTCAGTTTCAACAAGCAGGGTTGTATCATCTGCATAATGCAGATTGTTGATAGATCTTCCACCAATCCTGATGCTGCATTTCTCCTCATAGAGCTCAGCCTCCCGGATCTGTTCTGCATACAGGTTGAAAAGGTATGGAGACAGGACACATCCCTGGCATACGCCCTTCCCAATTTTGAACCATGCAGTGTTTCCTTGCTCTGTTCTGATGACTGCCTCTTGGTCCAAGTACAAGTTTCGCATTAGCACGATCAAGTATTCTGGGATTCTCATTCTTCTCAGAATCAGCCACAGTTTGTTATGGTCCACATAGTCAAAACATCTTTGCATAATCAATCAAGCACAGATAGACATTCCTCTGGTACTCCCTGCTTTCCGTCAATATCCATCTGACATTAGCTACAATATCCCTAATACCACGACCCCTGCTAAACCCAGCCTGGACTTCTGGCAGTTCTCTGCTGATGTGCTGTTCCAGAATCTTCAGCAGACTCTTGCTTGCATGTGAAATCAATGATATTGTTCTATAGTTTCCACACAGCACAGAAAAGTAGATGGAAGGAAGTAATAAGCACCATAAAAAACAGAGCAGAAAAATGACAGCAAAAAAGACCCATGTCTACAGATAATTTCACTGAATGTGATTGGATTAAATCGATCTGTCAAGAGAAAAAGAATAGCAGAATGGGTAAGAAAACATGACCCAATAAAATGCTTGTCTATAATGACATATTTGAGTCACAGGATAAATATTAGAAATCAAACTATGGGAAATTATATCAAGGAAATAGTAATCAAAAAAGAGTAGGGGTGGCAATATCAGTAATAAAATAGGTTTCAAGTTAAAAATTAGCATGAGAGACAGAGAAGGAGAATATTTAATTATTGAAAGGTCAGTTTAACAAGAGGACATAAATATAATATCTACACACAGAAAGTTGGAGCTGCAAAACACACAAACCAAACTTTAATAGATTTGAAGAAAAACATATACAACATCTTAATAGTTGTTGCTGTTAGGTGCCTCTGAGTTAAGTCAGACTCATAGTGACACTATGAACAACAAACCTGAATCCTGTGCTATCTTCATTATATCTGATATGCTTGAATCCATCGCTGCAGTCATTATATCAATTCATCTTGTTGAGGGTCTCCTCTTTCACTGACACTCCACCTTTCAAAGCATGGTTTCCCTTTCCAAGCAATAGCTCCTTCTAGTAACATGTTGAAAGATTTAAAGAAAATTAAAACAATTCCATGAAAGCTTAGATATGACCCTGAGAAATCCCATCTAAGTTTCGAGATCATCTCAAGGACTGATTCAACACGCTGAACACTTAATGATTGAAGACCAGATGAGCTGTGAAATGCATCAAGGCCATTAAAAATACAGCAGAAAAAAATGTCATAGTGGATGTCAGAAGAGACTCGGAAGTTTGTCCTAGAATGTAGAGAAGCTAAAGTGAATATGACATAAGATAGCAGAATAGAAAAATCTCGAAGTGTGGCTTAAGTATAACAATGAAATATGCAAAGACCTGGTATTAAAAAAACCAAAAGGGAAACACATGCTCAGCCTTTCTCAAAATGAAAGAAAAAAATTAAAGCACTGAGTTACAACAGTGAAAGATTTTATGGGAAAAATTTTGAATGATGTAAGAAACATCAAAAGAAGATGGAAAGAATACAGAGTGACTGAACAAAAAAGAAAGTGGTCACCACTCAACTATTTCAGGAAGTGGCATAGGATCAAAAACCAATAGTACTGAAGGAAAAAATTTAAGAGTCACAGAAACCACTGACAAAAAAACCCCAAAACAATAAACAAACAAAAACACCAAACAAAACAAAACAAAACCAACAAGTTCCAGGCTACATAAATGGAAGAATGTGCCATGTTCATGGATAGGAAGACTCAATATTGTGAAAATGACAAAAAAATAAAAA